CTTATCCTTTAATGCCACACCAGGATTCCATGGTACCATATTATACTATCAATATTATAAGTCCACTCTCCCTTTATTTTGCAAGGTAAAAAAGTGGTGTCTTAATTTGTTTTAAGTTACTTTTCTCTCATTGTAAATGATTGCTTTTTCTACCTATTTGCCCTGGTTTTTTTTAATAATATAATTGTCTATTTGTTAGGACCTTTGTGTTTCCCCTGTTGATTGATGTAGAATAAAGATTTCTTAAATACCTTACTCTCAGTAGCTTCCACAGAGGAACATTGCACAAGACACTAGAAAGGCAGATTGTTCATGGTTAAGTAAGACAATAATGGTGTTAAGTGTTGTCAGCTCAGTTCCGACCCATAGAGACCCTGTATAGGGTTTCTGAGGAGCAGGTGGTTAACTTGAACCACTGACCCTGTGATTCAAACTGAGTTTGCAGTACAGCACATTAACCCACTGTGCCACACCAGTACTCCCAGACAATAATATTGTTGGATAATATTATTATCCAACAATATTATTGGAAACCCAGACAAAAAGGGTTTCCAAGGAGCCACTGATGAGCTTGAACCACCGACTTTGCAGTCTGAAGCATTAGCGCACAGTGCCAAACCAGGTTCCCCAGACAATAATATGAGCAAATAAAAAGAACATGCCTTTTGTGTCCTTTCTTGTGAATGGACAAGTGGTACATCTTGTGGCTTTCCAAAAAAAATTTAAAATAAAAGGAGAGCTATACAATACAAGGAGGCTTCAGAAAGTTCATGGGAAAATGGAATTAAAATATACAGCATTTTTCCATAAACTATTTGAAGCTCCTTTGTTCTGTGGATTGGAAGACTCAGTATGTTGAAGATAGTAGTATTTCCACATTGAAGTAGTTGGTGTTATACCATCAGTGTCCAAGCTGAGTCTTTTGTTAGTTGGTTTGTTTTTTGGTGGGACTTTGCTTTATGTTCATTTTAAATTGTATTTTTAAGTTTTATTGCAGAGCACTCTTGAATCACTTGCTCTTTAGTTATTATGACCAGAACAAAAATAGACCCATGCTTATATAATCCCAAATAAGCAAGAGCAGAGATTTTACAGAGAGGGGGAAAAGGTTAGGAGATGGTGCTGGGTCACCAGGTTATTATCCAGATGGGAAGAAATGAATTGGAAATTGGACTCTGCCTCATATCACACAAAAAATCCAATTCAAAGTGGATTAAAGACCTAGCTGTGAAAATCAAAACTTTTAGAAGAAAATAGAGGAGAGTATCTTCACTGAAGGAAATGAGTGATCAGTTTAACCATATAAAGATTAAGAATTTTTATCAAACAGACACAGACTGAGAAAGGGTATTAATAACAGAGCTGATTCATACTCAGAATATTTACGAGGGTGAGTCAAAAATTACCCTTAACTCCAGTTATTAAAACGCCTGTCCACATCTTATAACAACATTGAGCAGGCACATGAAATGATTCTGTCGAATAGATGAATGACAATGGATTGTGTGGCAAATCATTTGCAAATCAGCCATGGTTCTGCCTGTGAAAGAATCCACTAGAGACTTGAGTTTTGAAAAGTGTGTGCAAGGAAATGGGTACTGAAACAACTCATGGACATCTACAAACAAAATTTGGACCAATAATACTCAAAGGAAAGTAAAAGTTTCTTTAAAAAATTATTACTGGTGATGAGACATGGATTCATCACTACAAACCTGAGAGTAAATGTCAGAGTAGGGAATGGAAACATCTTGAATCACCCACCAAGAAAAATTTAAAAAGTCAGCCATCAGCTGGAAACTGGATACTTGCAGTTTGCTGGGCCTCTCAAGAGCCAGTATTGAAACATTATCAGGAAAAAGGTTCAGCAATCAGTAGTGCTCATTACAGTGAGATACTCACTGAAGAGGTAAAGCCTAAATTCAGATTCACTGCAGAGGACTGCTGTCCAAGGGTATTGTGATCTTGCATGACAGTGCACGTTTGCACACCTTGGCCTACACTGTTGAAACTCGGCCTACACTGCAGAATCTTTGTTTTGAGATATTAAAACATCCTCCCTATAGTCCTGATCTTGCTCCATCAGACTTTCACTTGTTTGATCCTCGGAAAGCAAGAATCTTCAAAGACGAAGATTCATCTATGATGACATGAAGACCATGGTGCATTTGTGGCTTACAGCTCAGCCTAAAACATTTTTTATAAAGAATATGAAAGCTTGTTGACAAATAGACAAAGTATATTGAAAAGCAAGGAGACTATGTTGGAAAATAATATATTTGTCTTTTCTAAAAGTTGATTAAAATAAATTCTATAGCCAGAGTGCAGATAATTTTTGGCTCACCCTCATACATGTGTGTGACTGTATATGTCATCAGTAAGAAAAGGTATAAAATGTAACAGAAACACTTGAAAACGATATAGTTAATAATTGACTAAGAAGTTGCTTAACCTCATTACTATTCAGGGAAGTCAAGACTGCATACCAAGTAAGCTAAGATTCTAAAATCTAACAGAAGAGAATGTGGAGCAGTGGGGACTCTACTGTTGTCATTAGATGCCAAAGAGTTTATTCTAATTCATAGACCCTACATAACAACAGATAGAAATACTGCCTGGTCTTAAGTCATCCTCACAGTCATTGGGATGTTGTTGCAGCCACTGTGTCACTCCATCTAATGTAGGGTCTTCCTCTTGTTCACTGACCCTCTGCTTTACCAAACATGATGTCCTTCTCCAGGAACTGATCCTTCCTGATAAAGTGTCCAAAGTACATGAGACAGAGTCATGCCATCCTTGCTTCTAAGGAGCATTCTGATTGTACTTCTTCCAAGACAGTATGTTTCTTCTGACAGTCCATGGTTATGTTTTATGTCCTTTACCAACACCATGATTCAAAGGTATTAATTCTTTTGTTGTCCTTACTCATTGTCTAGCTTTCACATCCATATTAAGTGATTTAAATGCCACGGCTTGGGTCAGACACACTTTAGTCCTCACACACAGTTTCTTAACTGCTCCTTCCGTGGATGTTAATTTTGAATCCAAGTCCTTAACAACTTCGGTCTTTTCTCCATTTACCGTGATGTTGCTTTCATATACTCTGAAAATTTTGGGAAATATTCAACATCATCCATCAAAGGTAATTGTAATATACCTGTTCCCCTGTGATGCCACTTCCTAGAATGCACCTCTTAGAGAAATTGACATGACACACCAGGAGACATGACACACCAGGAGACATGACACACCAGGAGACATGTACAAGGATGTTTGTGATACTATTGCTTGTGATAGCGTAAACTGAAAGCAACCCAAAAGTCCAGTTGTTGTTGTTGTTAAGTGCTGCAGACTTGGTTCCCACTCATAGCAACCCTGTATAGGGTTTCAGAGGAACAGCTCATGAGTTTGAAACACGAACCTTGCAGTTAACAGTCTAGTGCTTATCCTGTATTGTAATATTCTAAGGGATGAATTAAAGTAGAAGAAACGTAGTCACATGCTTTTACAGAGATACATCCCCCAATTTTTTTTTTGCATAAAAGAAATAAATTGTAGTTCAGAAATACAAAATTAAATTTGTTTCGAAATATATACAAAACTGGAAAATGTTTTTAGAAAGCTGGGAATTATGATAAGAAGAGTGTTTATAATTATAACCAGTAATAATAAAGTCTTTTGGAGTTAATTTTAAAGTCCCAAAGTCTACAGATTTAATGTTTCTCATTTAGAAACCTTTTGCAAGTGTATAGGAAGTAGGGGGTTAATAGAATTGGTCTAATTTTTAATCCTTTAGTGCCTGCTTTCCTTATTAGCTGGGCATGTGTCCTAAACAGCATCACATGTCAAGCCAGGCATTCTGGATAGTTGTTATACTAGATCCACATTCTGAGCCGTGGCGCCTTCATTGACTTTTAACCTTGTCATTGGTCCTACTGGATTTTCATACTTACTCACCTCTGTGCCAGAACTGCCTGGGTGGGGTTCTTGTAACAGAGATCAGTAACCTCTTGTCTTCTTCATGTTCTTCAGCTCAGGTTCAGATTGAAGGAGATTTCCTGGCGTGTTCTTTTTCTATACTTGAGGAACAGCCCATGGACATGCTTCTGGGACTGGATATGCTTAAACGGCATCAGGTAATTGGGGCTTCACTGTCTTTTTGCATCTGTTTTTTGTTATATGGTTATTGCCAAGGAGCCATAGTGACTTAGTGGGTTAAGTGTTAGACTAACTCCAAGGTCAGTGGTTCACACCTGCCAGCCACTGAGACTGTCTGCACCTGTAAATATTTAGTCTTGGCGGAGACCCTAAGGGTTCAGTTCTACTCTGCTCTATAGGGCGTCTGTGAGTCGGAGTAGACTTGCTGACAGTGGGTTTGGTTTTGTTTTCTATGTTTATTGTTGCATTTCTATTGGTTATATTTACTGGAACACCAAGAAGCATGGCTGCAAACCTGGAGAGATTCTTAGCTGATGTTATTCAAGGGTCTGAATTATGTGTCAGTAGAAGTAGAATCTAGTCTTTTGTGTCATCTTTCTATGATTTTATTAAATCTTTCCATGTCTTTTAAGTATAGTGGGCAGTTTGGTTACCTTAGGTAAAGTTTTTCAGATTCTCATTAGATCTCAAGTCATTTGTTGTTGTTTTTTGGCAGGAATGGGGGTGGATTTGCAGGCACAATGATAATTTTACTGCAAATGTAAACTTAGTAAATCATCAGTCATCCTAGATGCCAGTCAAAAGCAGCATTTGGAAGGAAGACCTTCAAGCTGAAGGAAAGTGTACATATGATGTGAGAAATGAAAATCATTGTTTAGTGCCAAACCAAAAAAACCCACTGCCATGGAGTTGATTCCTACTCGTAACTACCCCAGTGACCAAGTAGAACCGTGTCATAGGGTTTCCGAGCCTGTGATTTTTTTATAGAGACAGAATGCCTTGTCTTTCTCCCATGGGATGACTGCTGGGCCCAAGCCACCGTTTCTGTTTAACAACCCAGTGCTTAACCCACTGTGCCACCAGGGTTCCATATTATTTAATACAAAGTAGTGGTGGTTATGTGCCATGGAGTTGGTTCTAATTTATAGCAACCCTGTACAGGGTTTCCGAGGCTGTAAATCTTTACGGGAGCAGAGCGCCTCACCTTTCTCCCGCGGAACAGCTGGTAGTTTCTAACTGCTGGCCTTGCGGTTTACAGCCCGATTTGTAACCACTACGCTAGAATATAAATATATTAACTTGCAATGCTATTTATGTGAAGAGAATTTCAGAAAGTTCATGGAGAAATTTCATTGTCTTTCAATTCCATTTTTCCACAAACTCTTCTTGTATTTCTACTCCGAAGACTTATTATTATTGTTTTATTATACCTTCCCTCATTGAGTCATAAATTTTTTACTTCAGGATTTCATATCTAGTCAGTATTTTCTGTCAGTTGGGTCCTGGTGTGGCACTGGAGGATAAGCACTGGACTGCTAACCACAAGATCAGTGGTTCAATCTCAACAAGTACTCTTTAGAAACCCTATACAGGGTCTCTAGGAGCAGAACTGATTAGACAGCACTTAACAACAGCAATAATACACTTTAAAGACGTTCTGGTGTAATGCTATAGGATAAGCACTAGACTGTTAACTGCAAGGTTGGCAATTCAGACCTACCAGCTGTTCCTTGGAAACCCTAACAGGATCAGAATCGTAACTGATTCAACGGCACTTTACAACAATAACATCAAAACACTCAAAAAGGGCTCGGCTGGCACATTGGGTTAAGTGTTGGGCTGCTAATCAAAAACATCAGCAATTTGAACCTACTGTCCACTCTGGGAGAAGGATGAGGTCATCTGCTTCCTTAAAAATTTACAGCTTCCAAAACCCTATGGAACACTTCTTTTTCTATCCTGACAGTTGCTGTGAGTCAAAATCAACTTGACAGCAGTGGATAATATGCTTAGAAATGCCTTGCACCTCTGACATTGTGGAGACCACTTTTTGTTGTTTCTAATAATTTATTTTACCTGTTGAACATGCACACAGCAAAACCGTATTCCAATTAAAGTCTCTACATGTACGTTTCAGTGGCATTGATGACATTCTTGGAGTTATGTAGCCGTTCTCGCCCTCCTCGCCTTCCTCTGAGTTGTTTCCCCATTAGCGCACTCACTGTCCCCCAAGGTTCCTATGTCATCTTTCAAGTTGCTGTTATCAGTTTGATCACACATAGGTAGATCGTAAAAGAGCATGTGATAAGAGGCTTAATATAAGCTGTACTTTATAGAAGTGAAATGTAAAACTGTATAAGTATCATAGTTTCAATTTTATAAGAAAAAATCATTTGTATATTTCTAAAAGGGGCTGCTGACTATCCGTGTTATTTTTCCAGATTTTGTACAATGAACATGCTTTACATCCATAATCAGAAATAAACAGAGGTTGTGTTAAAGGCAAATAAATGTAAGCTATAATCCTGTAAAACTTATTCTGCTATAAACTTTGAATATTTTTTAAATTCTCAATTAGCTAAAGAAGTTTTTTGAACTATCTCTGTCCCTATCGATTTACTCTTTGAAATGGAGTTTTAAATTCAAGATCCTAATTTTTATGCATGGGGATTTTTATCCTCTATCCTCTTCCTTTGGTTTCTTCCTTCCAAGTGTTCCATAGACCTCAAGAAAAATGTACTCGTGATCGGCACCACAGGCTCCCAGACCACCTTTCTTCCTGAGGGAGAGCTGCCAGAGTGTGCCAGGTTGGCATATGGGGCCGGACGAGAGGACCTGCGACCAGAGGAGATTGCAGACCAAGAATTAGCAGAAGCCCTTCAAAAATCTGTAGAGGATGCAGGTACTTGGCTAGGCTGTGCTTTTGAATCATACCTGTGTAGTTGATGGATGGGCCTGAGGAGGGCGAGCTTTAGAAAAGAATAGGGATCTTTTTGGCTTGTCATCAGTTTCATTGTCCAGTAGTAGATGTGTTCATTTTTTGTCCTCTTACTTCACATTTCAGTAGATTAAGAAATAGCAGTCTGTTGCATGTCAAGATAAATTGGGGACTTACTAGCTTAGGTGCATTTTTATAGTCTTCCTAAAAATGCTATTTTTTTTTTTTTCCCCCTAAAGCAAGTTATTACAGTAAGTAGGTAACTTCTTATCTTTTAAGCTCAGCAGTATTTTCCTAAATCTTTCTTTCCTTTTCTTCAGCCTATTTATTTGAAAAGATAGCATTGTTTCTGTGACTGGGCAGCCTTCACCTTTTTAATATTTACTGAAAGAGCTGCTACCAGAGACAGAAAAATCAATAAGAAGCACAATTGAACATAACTCAGTGTGTCGTGTTCATGCTGAGTTAATGACCTCATGGTAGTATGTCATTGAGCCTTATTGAAACAGTATAAACTGGGGCAATCATGCTACCTAATAAGTTTTTCTGTGGAAAACGTCTTTATTGTTTTGTCCTATTTAAAGTTAAAGGCTGAGCCAAGTTTTCTGAATAAAATGTAACACAGTTTTGCTGAAATCCCACTTCCGTGAAAAAATTTCCTCCCATCTGTTACAGATCAGTGACTTTGGGATGTACTTTCTAGAAGCTGAAAAGAATTTACTGTTAAGTTTGGGTTATTTTTAAAGCCTTGAGCTGGAAGTAGTCATCAGTATGACTAATATCGCATGTTGCTTTTTCTGGGACAGTAAAATGTATTTTGTCTTTTTTCTTAAAGACAAAAAAGATATAATCCTTTCACTAGCCTAAGACCAGAAGAACTGGATGGTGCCCACTTACCACTACTGACAGTTCTGTTCAGGATCACAAAGGGTCCGGTAGAGAGTGGGGAAAATTCAAAATCATAAAAAAGACTAGACTTGCTGGTCTCTTAGAGACAGGTGGAACCCCTGAGACTGTGAGCCTTAGACACCCTGAGACCTGGAACTGAAGCCACACTCCTGGAGATCACCTTTCAGCTAACAATAGACAACAGACCTATAAAGTGAATGGTAACACTTGTGAGAAACATGCTCCTCCGAAAAATCAACATTATGAGACCTAGAGGGCTGGTTTGCCCAAAACAAAATTCAGAAGGCAGGAAGGAACCACAAAGATGGGCAATAATGCAGGAACTGCAGGGAGGAAGTAGTAGGGATGCTGTCACATTGAGGGGATTGCAGGTAATGTCACGAAACAAAATGTGTATAGATTGTTGAGTGGGAAATGAAGAAAGTGTTCAAAAAGCAAGAGATAGGCCTTAAAAATGAGCAGCCAGGTTTTGCCTGTGTTTATTGTGGGAGGTCTGTCCTTGAGCCTCTTTAGAATGAGTGTAGAGCAGATGGCATTTTCTTAGTTGGTCTTGTTCAGAACCTATTCCACCATCTTTTGGCTCAGTTTTCCATACAAAAGGCAATTTGAAGTATGACTGAAGTCTTTTATAGGAAGAGAAGAATTCTGAACCACCACACAGGGTGCAAGAATAGTTTCCTCTAGAAGGTCAGCACAGGGCTGATCTCTCTGAGGAGGACACCACAGATATCTTGACTTTTCCAAGATAGTATTGATGTTGTTTAGTGCCATCTAGTTGGTTCCGATTCAAAACTTACCATATAGGACTTTGAGGCTGCTCACATTTATGGGAGCAGAAAGGCTCATCTTTCTCCCATGGAGTGGCTGGTGGGCTCCAACTATTGACCATGTGGTTAGCATTTCAGTGCTTACCCTGTGGAGCAACAACTCTCCATAATCCCTGATACCAGCCAGCACTCGTCTCCATGGTGTTTCCCCTCATATCCCAGGATTCTGAATCTCACTGCAGTGTCCCTCAGAACTCACCAGATGGCAAGGAAATGGCGTACACAACTGTGGAGGCTGCCATGTCCAATCTGCAGTTTAGATGTCAGTCTAGAGGATTTTTGGCTCACTCAAGCCAAGACAGGCATAGCTCAAGTCCCAAACCCAGGATCCATAACAAGAGATTGAATTTGTCAAACCATTTCCATATATCTGATGCAGACCATACCCTCAGTGAAACTAAGGGTGCCAACTTGAGTCATGCCTGGAGACTCGAGTCATACCCACCTTAATCCTGCCTCACTCACATAGTAGACCACTCTTTCCAAAATGGGACCATAAGCACAGGCATGTTATTGTTAAGCACCATGGAGTTGGTTCCAACTAGATAAAATTAAGATGTAGTACTATTATGTAAAATTCCTATAATTTTCCTGTAGTCTTGATGTTTTTTATTTAAGGAACTGTAGCTGATCGTATTGCTTTCTAATCTACTAACAGTTACCCACATTGAGTAATTAGAAGATTTAAGTAGATTGAATAGTTACTCAACAAAGAGGAGTATTATGCCAGTTTTAAAAAGGATGAAAAGGAGTACCATTTTACCCATGTGACCTTTTGTTACTGATCTGCATGCTTGTGCTAAGTTTTATAGAATTAAATAGTGAAGCAATTTGCATTTCCTATTTGTTTGAAACACTGACTTCCTAGTATCCTCAGAATCAAAACTCTGCACACATTAGGTAAGAGCTGTTTCTCTGGCAGATGACTTTTTTATCAACTGAAAAATAACTCTGTAAAGTTAAAAATAACTCTGTCTGTGTCTGATACACGAGTATTTTCTGAAAATGGGTGAAAAGATAAAGAAGATACGCCAGGATAGAATTCAATCAGGTTTGGTTTGTTTTCTTCTAAAAATAAATCTGAACCGAAGAACGAAATTTGGTGAATGACTGCTACGTGTGTTCCCTCGCCTTTGAATGACAGGGTTTAGGGATCTCGTTGTTCCATCTGGTGGGTCTATTAAGGTCACTTTTTCACCTGTTTCACATGTTTGCCCATGAGTTCTCTGTAGATGTGTAAAACTCATTTCTCTTCAAGTTCTATTAAAAATCTGTTGATATTATGACATTGTTTTATGTAGTGTGAGAAAATTGAACCAACCAACCAATCTACAGGAATATCCCCTACTCCGATGCTCCAGTTGCTGATGTTAAAGATGACAGAGAGGAATGGAGATGATAACCCTGCATGCTGTGTGGTTTGCATTGTTAACCCAAGTTTGCTTGTCTGTTTCCTAATTCAAACAGAGCGTCCGAAGCCATGATGCATGTAGTGTGTGTGTACTGCAGCTGGAGTGGGCCCCAGACCAGGTATTTATAGCCGCGGCGCTAAGCCTCCCATTCAGTCATCATCTGTGGTCTGAAAGTCTCTGTGCGTGAGCACTGTGGGAAGTTAGCTTCGTTATTCACCATTTCACCTTATTTCATCTGATTGCAACTAGCCTGTATAGATGGTTGTGTGTTGGTATACATAAGTATACCTTCCTGTTGAAAGTATTACCAATGATAAGAACAGTCCCTGGGAAAAAGTCTGAGTAAAAGCAGCCAATGTCCTTTCTACCTCCCCTATCTGACCATGGTGACTACCAAATCAAGATTATTGGTTTCACAGCACTTGGTGAATGGACATAACTGTTCTCCTATTGGATTTTGGAAGTCCTTGTTTTGTTTTGTTTTTCCCTCCTGGAGAACTGAAAATGTCTGTTTCCCTTCTACGCACAACTGCATACAACCATCTGGAATCCTAGAGGGATGGGAATTCTCATTGCATTAAGGGAGAAATGGATGCAGGTCAAGTGACTTGTCCAGGCTGCAGGCAGGACTTACACAGCAGGAGCTGAGACTTTGCTTTTCCTTGTCTCTCTCCAGCCCGACGAATTTCCACAGAAGTTGATTTGCTTCCATTTCTCTCTGGTTTAAAGAATGGAACTCAGCCGAAGCTTATTGGCTGATAAGTCAAGAGAGGAAGAAAGATAATCTTTTATTAAACTATCGACCTGAAACTGCATAGGACCTTACAGGCTAGTTGTAATTAGGTCTATAACATTTCAGTTTCCTTTCCTTCCTTCTTGTAAGGATAGGTTAATAGAAGGCATAGTTAAATCTTATTGTCCATTGTCCACATCTTCTTTTTCCTATCAGTCTGTTGTTGTTATTGTTAAGTGCCATCGAGTCGGTTCCGACCCATAGCGACCCTGTACAGGGTTTCCGAGGGTGTAAATCTTTACGGGATTAGAAAGCCTCATCTTTCTCCCGCGGAGCAGCTGGTAGTTTCGAACCGCTGACCTTAAGGTTCACAGCCCGATTCGTAACCACTACGCTACCAGAGCACTGACCAATCCTCCCTACACTTAGGACTTGAGCCAGTGAGACTGATCATCTCAGCTGTAGGGGGACTCTGTGCTGTTTTCATAATGAGTACAAAAGACATCCAGACAGTGATCACCTTGACCTCCCCTGGTTGTTTATAACTGGCATACTAGTGTCAGCAGGCCTTTACTGGGGATGTTTTTTGCATTGCTTTTTTTCTCTCAGTATTAACTCAAAATTGAATCTCTTTCACAGTCAGCTTTGTTGTTGTTAGTGCTGTTGAGTCGATTTCGACCCATAGTGACCCTATAGAGGTTTTCCAAGGAGCAGCTGGTGAGCTTGAACCACCAACCTTACAGTTCAAACAGTTTTGCTGTGTTTGATGCTTTAGCCCACAGCACCACACCAGGACTCCTTAGAGAACAGTAAATAAAACATACCTGTGTTTCTAGACTCTAATGAACATAGTTTAAAATGAGATAAACGCTGTTTCCCTGGTTACTACTAAACTCTAAGGTAAGGTGATTTCCTGAGGCATCAGTAACTTCCCGACCCAGTGCTCTATCTTCTGTGCTGATTACAGAGACTTAGAGCTGTCTGAAGCCTAGCTGTACTGCTTCATGACTGCTTAGGTCAAGATCAAGCCCCAGGGGGGCACATGAACATTCAGCATGAAGCATCCGAGTTGCATCTGTCCTAGTAGATTGTTTTGTAAAGTCTTTTGACTTTTAATTCAACATTTTTTTAATAGTATGTATTTAATGATAGAGTATTAGGATGTTTACACTGAACTATTGTATAAGCCTGCCATCTTGTGTGAGTGGTCAATTGCACTGAATCTAAATAATCATTACCTATTGAAAAACTATTGAGCCGTCTTCTCTATTATGTTAATGGGAAAGTGACTGATAATTCTTTAACAGTTGTATTATATGGTAGGGTGATGGGGCTTTAATCTGTTTGATATTAAACTTTGCTTTCATTCTCTGTGTCAGACACTTAGCAGTTTTACCATGATTCTTGAGAAGCTTGGCTGGAAATAAAGTACATAGAATGTCTGCATCTCTGTCTCCTGGAAGTCACTTAGCATTAGTGTTTGTTCTCTTTGAAATTCTGCTCTGCCTGGGTACACCTGGTTGTAGATTTCTCATTTATTACCTCAGTGCTCACATTTAAAACAGGAAATGTGCATTGTCAGGAGAATCATTTCTGTTACAGAGATTCTCAAGATTTGTGATGCACTTGAGAATAATAACTGAGGAGCTTATTGAAAATGCAGATTCCTGCCTTTATCCTATCCCCCAGGCTGGTGCCCCAGAACCTGCATGCATAACAAGCATCCCAGGTGTCTTCAGGATAAGTAGTGGAGAGATGCACTTGGAGAAACATTTTTCTAGCGGTCTGGGAATAAAGATGCATTCCTGTCCTTCAGTCCTGAGCGCTAACCTGGTCATGATGTGGGGGCCTTTTAATGCTACTTGAACTATCATCTTGATCTTAATAAGAGCATGCTTACCTCTTTTCTCTGATGCACTGATGCTAAGCTATCTTATCAAATGAGAATAGTTCTGATATCTTATGTACAATCTGAGTTTAAGGGCCTGATTTTATTGTATCCTTTCTAGATTTGTATCCTCTGATAATTCACTGCCCTTTGTTACTTGCGAATTCATCTTTTTCTATTTCCTTTTATTCCACATAGAGAAAAGCGGTAAAGAAACTACCTCACTGGGAATGTCATCATTACCAGCCTCAGATGGCTATAACCATCTAGCGCATCCTTCAGGACAGAGTCCGGAGATTGGTAATCCTACGAGTTTTGCTCGCTCTGCCTCTGCTTCAGTCTGCCCTGTAAAGCCCAGTGACCCAGATAGCCTTGAACCTAAAGCTGTCAAGGCTTTGAAGGCTTCAGCTGAGTTCCAGATAACCTCTGACACGAGAGCGCATCTTCTTCCTCTACAGGATCTTTCTGATTATGCTTCTTCAACAGACAGTGCTCCAGCAGGCCAGAGTCCAGATAGGCCTTTGCAGAGTTCATCAGAAGAAGCGGATGTTGCAGATACTCTAAAGAAATCTCCTGCTGAAAAAAGCACCCAGGGCCTCAAATTTCATCTCTATACAAGACAGGAAACTAATTTATCTGTCACAACTACTAGGATGCGTGAATCACAAATGCTTCTCAGTGAAAAGGGTTGGCATCTAGAATATCAGAATCTGAGTCCAGTCAACGGCCTTCAGCAGCATGAAGAAGAACATGAACAGCATGAGGTTCTACAGCAGAATTCTCCACGTGACCAAGAACATGTTAGTAACACAGGGGACCTTGAACTTCCTGGAGAAAGGCAAAAGAATCAACAAAAATGTGTTGGTTTAGAAGCTGAGATGAAAGGGGACAGGCTACAGCAGAATGTAGACCTTCTAGATACAGAGAGAAATATTCTCCCTTCAGGATGCTTTGGTTGCTCAAATTCAGAAACTCTTATGGAAATAGACATCGTTGAACAGTCTCTGGTTGCTGTGTTTAATTCCGAAGGTGGTCAGAATACCAGTGTCAAGAACACTGGTGCATCTGATCTCACCCTAGATAATCCTTTAATGGAAGTAGAGACATCAAAATGTAACCTTTCAAATGAAATTTTAATTAATTCCATTTCCACTGAGGATATACAGCTCCCAGGAAGTGATGTCAAAATGTCTGGAACAAATAAAGAATATGGCGATTGCTCCTCCTCTTTAAGCGTTTGCGGCAGTTGTCAGTCCTCTGTGGAGTCAACAGAGGAGTCATATTCATCTGTAACAACAGCTTTGCAGGAACTTCATGAACTTTTGGTCAGTAGTAGTAACACAGCTTCAGAAAGTGTATCTGAAGAAGTTTCCTGTCAATCAGAAACACGAGTTGAAGGTCAAATGAGTACTAAAGACTTTTCTGAAAGATGGTCCCAAACTGAGCCTCTTCCAGCTATTCAGGATGCACAGGCTCCACAGGTCTCCTCTCCTCAGGCTGTCCCTGTGCCAGTGAAGGCAGAGCAGTGCACAGGCTCGTCACCTGGAGCTGGAAGAGAGGAGCTAGAAACTACTGACTTCAGGGGAACAAGTGATGGCACGCCAACTCATACAGAAGACGTTCCTCAGTCTAGGGAATCCTTCAAAGAGAGCCATTCTATCCCCCTAGCCTCAGCTAATCAGTCTAATCAACCGTACAGCACCCTAGGTGCAGCAATGTCATCCAGACTTTTAGGTGAGGAGGATGCACTCAATCAGACTTCTGAGCAAACCAAGTCCTTGCCATCCAGTTTCATATTGGTTAAAGACTTGGGTCAGGGCATACGGGATCCAATGACAGACAGCCCTGAAACACGAGAAAATGTCTGTCCTGAAGCTGCCAGCCTCTTCCTTGAGTTTGACCCACCCTACAGCTATCCTTCAAGTCCCTCTGTTCTCCCACCATTGATTTTTCCTGCTGCAGACATTGACCGGATCCTCCGTGCTGGCTTTACTTTGCAGGAAGCTCTTGGGGCTTTGCATCGAGTTGGTGGAAATGCAGACCTCGCTCTTCTTGTTTTGCTAGCAAAGAACATTGTAGTTCCTACATAACCGTGGAAAGTGGGCTAGACCGTACTCCATTCCCTTAAAGAAGGCTCTACACACACACATACGTGCTCACACGTATACAGTATAGGTAGAAACCTGCAAGCAGAAAGTTGAGCCAGAGTTTTTTGTGGTTTTTTTAGGATTTTTTTCGGCCAAAGTAATTTATGATTTCTTGTCTGATGGATTTATCTATTTTACTTGTTAAAATGTAGGCCTTTTTAAATGTATTGGCATTATGTGCATACAAAAGCATTTTATTCTCATTACGATGATGTATTCTGGAATAAAATTGATGGCTTTGTGTATAGCATACCATTTAGAATGAGAGTGAATGCTTTGAAAAGCAGAAGCCATGGAGGTCTCTCTACCTGTGTAGCCAAAAGCAGATCAACTTAACACTGTGGCTGTGTGTCTGTGTTGTAGGCATGGTAGGGCTTATGGATTCCATTGTCATGTTACAAACTTTTGACAATACAGTTCGGTGTGTGGGATTATACCCAGTCCCCTGTATATTAAAATTCATCAATTTTAATAGGAAATTGAAGAATAATTGAATAATACCTCCTACAGTGGTATTTTTTATTTGTGTGCTTAGGATTTGACATTTACTAGGGCGAGTGGGAGGGTTTAAAACTTGGGCTACTCTGTACGCAGGCTGCTGCATGGATTGCCAAATATTACAGTGGGTGGGCTAGTGTGGGGGAATTAGCATTAGCGTGAAACATGGTGCTGCCCAACTTTTCAAAGAAAAAAAGTGTAATTCCATTTGTAAATGTCTTTATGTTTCCAGAACTGTGAGTGAAAAATAACAGCCTAAACACTGGAATTTACTAGAGATTGGGTTTGCTAGCATCTCATTCATCACGCCTCAACCCTTAATGATTTATTGGATCTGTTTATATTCAGCAAATGGGTTGGTTGCCAGTTCTTTTCTAAACTCATCTTCTGCTAAGAAGTACTACAGCTCAGCTTCGAGCCGTGGACTGAGTGGGCTGTGGAATTGTGGTAACCCTGTCACTGGTTCATCCTAGTGCTTGGAATGGTCGGTCTGCTTGGTGACTGCCCCTCGCAGCTCTTGTCGTTTCTGACTCAAGTGGCCTTGGTAGAGTTTGCCATCCCTTTCTTTCCTCAGGAGTTTTCTTTTTTAAGCAAGATCATCATCCTATTTGTGTCTACGGTGTAGAGTTAAGAGTGGGGCGCAGCATATAGGTGTATTTATTGTGGCCTTTTATCTGAGGACTCGCCCTGGGAGATCAGTGCCCTGAGGGCCCCACTGTGCAATAATCCTATGGAGAGGTTTTAGATCATTCTTTCCTGGCAAGCAGACTGCTCTCTTAGGTACCAAGCAGGAATCTGAAATCATGGTTTGTTCAAAAAGAATTATAAGAATGATAATTCTTGATTCCAGATTGCAGTTCGTAGTGTATTTGAAACAGAAGCTTTGAAAAATCATTTTGTCTAAAATCTGACTCTCTGAAAAAGTGTGTACTTTCCATCAAAATTCAAGTCGTTGAGCACAGTCAGATCTCAGGAGTTTTGTTTTTTATTATTATTCTAATTTAGGGGTACTGGGAGACGTGCCTCTTCTACTCTGTCCTGTTCTGATGTTTACGTGTTCTAAGACTGTCTCGTCATGATCCTTTCTGAAATTAGAAATGGTGACGGGAGGAGCTGTTGTGGACAGTTGTCAAGAGGGTGCTTACATGGCAGGTTCACCAGATTGTCTTTAAACTGTTTTTTTAGACAATCACATGTTAGAGATTTTGCCCTACACCAAAGACGAAAGATGCACTAGGAAACTGTCATATTTCTCTGGCTATTACTAAGGATTGGTACTGTGAATGATGCAAAATCTCATAGCATTGCAGTGGGACTTTGTTCTCTGGGTGACGGGTTTGGAACTTAAGTGATAGATCTGGGGGCCACGGATTGGGGTGGGTGTAGTGTAAGGGAAGTTACCAAGGACAGTAGCCTCTTCTAGCAAGACTTTTGGTGTGATGCTAGCCTCGTTTTTCTGTTGTGAGCAGAATAAAATTGGGAGGCGCTGCTCAGAGGCATGGCCACTGACTTTTAACAGGGTGGAAATATGGGAAGCAGTCAAAGTGAATATAGAATGTCAGTCTTGAACAGGCTTCATTATGGTAGTGTTTTATGTATGTACATATTTATTTTTTGAGAGAAAAACTGAATCGTTTTTATACAGATTCTTGTTAGGAATACGCTGAGTAATTTTGGCCCATTTGCCAGGTATCCTTGTCAAATTTTGTCATTTTTTTCAACATATAATTGCTTTTTAATTTTGAAAACTTGTCCATCATTTCTATGAAAATGAAGCTGTTGGTAATGTTAGGATTTTTATTACTCTTAAATTCAGCAGTTCTAGAATGCAAAGGGTATTACAAAACATGACGCTAATAAACCTTCATTGTCAATTATAGCCAGTGTGTAACACTTTAAGTATTCTAAAAATACAGAAATTAAAGGTTAAGTTTCAAGAATAAGATAAAATCATTGTGAACTTGTCTAGTTGTTGCCAGTGGTAATGGCCAGCCAGCTAAGTAATGGATGGCCCTACTGGAACGCTTCTTTGGCACAAATGAAGTAGCTCTGTGGTCAGAGCTTATCTCCAAGGGTGGTCTCCATTTGCTCACCAAAGAGAGGAAGGGATTCCCCTGTATGCTGTCTACATTTTCCCTCAAGCTGGTTGTAGTGTATCAGGCGTGCTCGGTAACTAGACAGGTGTATCTAGGCTGCAGATTTTGCCCACTGAAGCTTCAAAGAATTCTTTATTTCCAGTTGGTTTAGGCTTCCAGACATCAACCTAGTATCTTTCATCCCATAGTTTGGGCTTCATCCATTAACATATAATCTGTTGCTTAGCAAGAGAGACTGACAAACGCTCTTTATCCCCATAGATACTAAAGGGGGAGCCACAACCCCAAAGCACTTCTCTAAGAGAGCTGGAAGGATCTATGAGAGTGTGTGTCCTGGGTGCTCTAATAACTCATTAAAGTAGAGCCTTCTTGTTCTTCCCTTACTGCCGCTTTCTAGCTAATGAAAGCCATAAGCAAATTTAGTTTAACTTTGCATTTTGTGTGTATGTATGTGAAGTATCCTATACATAATAAGGTGATTGACAAGTATCCTAAAAGTAATTTTATATAGATGAAGTAGATTGAAATGTGAGCAGTTTTTGTGTCTATAGATCCCATCTTCACATAGTGGCATGTATCCGACCATGTACATTTAGAACAACCTTGCAAAAAAACTGGCCAGGAAAATTGAAGTGAATTCTGATTTCCTTTTCCTTCCTATTGCCCTTCCTGTTTCCTTTTCCTAACCTGCAGCCAGGTTAAACAGGAATCATTGAACTGCTATTTATTTGAAACTTGTCATCATCTCTAAGAGAAGCTACCCTGGGTGTGCATTCTTCCATTCTCTGGCACAAATACTCGCCCAAAAGCCGAACTTCTCCTTTGGATGTTAGTCACTTGTCGTCTGGCTGAGTTCCACCTCCTGGAAGAGGAATGTCACCTTTCAGCTAGGAGTTCTGTAAAAGAAAACTAACTTTTTCTCTGAGAGAATGAAAAATGCAAGTTCCTCTTAAACAGAGTCAATCCTGAGTACGCTCCTAAGTAGCTGGACATGTGAAATCATGGCTCAATTTTATAGTCTAGTGGAATTCATTGAATAAAAGATTAAGGTGTAAACCTTTGATGCACTTGATGTTCTTTTGTGCCTTAGTTTCTCCAAATAGAGGCATTATGTTTTGGTGGGGGCATGCATAGAGTGATCCTAAGTCTTCCCTTTACTAAGCTGATGCAGAATTATACTATACCAAATCATTAGATTTCCCTAGTTAGGAGGCTTCTCATCTGGATTTATACATCAGGCATACCAAAAATGATTTCTAGATGTTAGGTTTTGTGTTTGTGTACTATCTATCAGTGTTGTAAAAGTTAAGGGAGAAGAAAAGGTCAAGAGAGTCTTACTTGAACTGAAAACTGGTACTCGTGAATGCTATGCAATATGATGAGTCTTTGAACAAGAATTCATTGGTATTTGATTCATTCATCAGGCACAGATTAAGTGCCTGTGTACCAGGCACTGGTGAACACTAGTAATTACAAAACAAGTGTGACTCAAACAGATGGATACCCTGCCCTCATAAAGCTTTCAGTCTGGTAAGGAGAAATGAAATTAATTTTAGCTTCCAAGACCAGATCTATTTGGGCCTCTTGGCCTGCTTTTATTTTTTTTTTAATATATGCAAATGGCTTGGTTTAAATTCGAAGCAGATGGGGGGTGGGGGTGGCGGGAAATCTGGTTCAAACTGGAATCCGCTAAAAAGATGTGCTAATGTGAAAGAAATGCCTGAAGAGAACAGGTATTTCTGAAGTGATAGTGCTGGGGGATTAATGGGCAGGATGGGAAGTGAAAGGCAGGTATTCCTCAGGACACATCAGTGTGACAGTCCAGCTTTCTTGCCATCAGGACCACCTGCTGTGTAAGCTGATGTTAGGGACTGTGCTGCGGCGTCCTCCCCTTGCCAGTTGAGGGCACAACTGCTCTGGAACATTTCTGTAGGGTGAAAGCAGCTGAGTACAAGATGGAAAGTGGGAATCTAGAAAATGTAGCAAGCAGTGGATGGTTCCAGGACAGAATGGTAGGCAGACCTGATTTACAAGAGGATTCAAGGTGCTGCTGGAGTTTTCTACAGGACAGCTCCCCTCAAAGAGACATGTTTTACCCACGATTTACAATGTCATATATTGTAATCCTTAGGCAGGTAGAATTTCTGGATCTTACCTACTAGTGACTTAAAAGGTTTACGATCTGTTATGTATTGGTGCTGGAGGGGTGGGGTGCTGTAAAAGGTGAGGCAACAGTTGACTAGTTCTGGGACATTGAGTATAAAATCTGCAGAGAAATTGCTCTAAGAGCATATGGGTTAAAGAATGCCTTTTACCTAAAAGTTCAGTCAGCTACAAAAGACTCGGGAT